GAGGAGATTGGATTTATACCCCGCCCTTCACTTGGAGTCTCAGAGCGGCTTACAAACTCCTTTCCCTTCCCCTCCCCACAACAGACACCCTGTGAGGTGGGTGGGGCTGAGAGAGCTCTTGACAGAAACTGCTCTTTTTCAAGGACAGCTGTGCCAGAGCTCGTGACTGACCCAAGGTCACATCAGCAGGTGCAAGTAGAGGAGTGGGGAATCAAACCCGGTTCTCCCAGATTAGAGTCTGCACACTTAACCACTGCACCAAACTGCCTCTCTGGATGAGACCTAGGGTGATTCCCCACAAGCGCTGCTCTGCGCTCACTCCTCCCTTTTGTCCCGATGGTACGTGTCAATTTCACATAAGCTGCTGCGTGGCCACATTTTGTCCCGCGGCTTCATGCGATTTTCCCCGCGTCTACTCAATCCTCAAAAAACAGGATTGAGTAGATGTGGGGGAAATCGCATGAAGCTGCGGCAAAATGCAGCCGTGCAGCAGCTTGTGTGAAATTTACACGTACCATCGGGCCAAAGAGAAGAGTGAGCGCGGAGCAGCGCTTGTGGGAAATCACCCCTAGAGTTATCTTGGAACTACAACTGATTTCCAGACTGCAGAGGTCAGTTCCCCTTGAGAAAATGGCAGCTTTAGAGGGCAGGCTCAAAGGCATCACACCCCCACTGAGCTCCCTCCATCTCCAAATGCTGTCTTCCCCACATATTTTCAGCAATCAACCAAATCAGACTTGTCCCCCTTAGCGCGGACCATTGATATGACTTGGTACAAGATGGCTTCATGTGTTCAGCTGTGAAAATTATTTCATTGATCAATAATCCTAACCATGTAGGTAACAGCGTTCCGTGCGCCTTGGTGTTTAGTCATGCCGGCCACATGACCATGGAAATGTCTTCGGACGGCGCTGACTCTTCGGCTTTGAAACGGAGACGACGAGCACCGCAACCCTACAGTCGGATTCGACAGGCTTTTGAGCAAGGGAACCTTTACCTTTATATGTCTTATACCAAGTCAAGACATTGGTCCATCTAGGTCAGTATATTTCACTCTGAGTACCAGCAGCTCTCTGGGGTCTCAGGTGGAGAAAGGTCTTTCCCAGCATCTGCAACCTGAGAGCCTTCTAACTGAGGATGCCAGGAAATGATCCTGAGACCTTCTGTACTCAGAGTCCGATCAGATGGCTCTTTAGATCAGTGCGAGGCACGATTGCCTCACGGATCTAAAGGTAATGTCCAGACACAAACATCTGGGAAACGTCCCTCTTCCGTGGGCATCCCATTTTGCCACGCTTAGGAGCCGCATGCCTCCTTCAGTGGACGCCGTCTAGACAATCAACAACGGAGGCATAGTGCAGTAAGGCGATCCACCAGGGGGATGTTTGGTCGTGCTAAAATGGATTAAAAAGATCGGGATCAAATTCAAGCTGGCATAATGGCGGGATTAGCTGCTCATCTGAACGCACCCTCAGATGGGGAACTCTGCTACTGCCCATGGCCTTTCTTCATCTAACGTATAGGAATGCGTGCCTAAATCTGCAGTGAAACGAAGCAGGAGATAGATATTGAAGTGACAAAAAAGAGCTCCAATATTTCTGGCTGTAGGTGGGATATCACTTCTGCATGCTCAATGCACATTTTTTTAAAAAAGCTCTTCAGGGAGAGAAGGGTTTTTTTGCCTGCTGTCTTGGTTTTCGATTTGCAGAGGTTTTTTTTTAATGCATTGAACTCCCCTCCCAGCAGAATACTGTAGTCTATTCTAGCACCCAATTTTGATACACATTCTGCTACCCACAAAAGACTCAGGTCCACCAAGCAACCTCATTCCACCGCACCCCCCACCACCATACGGTTAGCAACTGTTCACTCTTCTGTGCTAAAGGAAGGAGGAAGCTACAAGGGGCTCGGCCATATGCAACTTACTATTAGCCATCAGGTAAGAAATGGTAGACGGGGTTGCGGTAGGGACCTAAGGGGGAAGTGACCATCTCCTGCTAGAATTTCTTTTGCTGTGGGGGACCAAGGAAGTTTGTTGCCACATGTGTATGTTAGATTTCAGTAGGGCAGACTTTAATAAACTCTATAGGCATGATAGGCAAGACTGCTGGAAGGGAAAGGAGCAAGTGAAGGGTGGGCTGTCCTTAAAAAAAAAAGAGCTCTTGCAAGCTCAAGCTGTCACCAGGGCTCCTTTTGTAGAAAAAGCCCAGCAGGAACTCATTAGCATAATAGGCCACACCCAACAGCAAAACTCATTAGCATATTAGGTCACACCCTGACAGCACCGCTCATTAGCACATTAGGCCACACCCCCATGTTACCAGAAGTGTAACCCAAGGCTTTTTTTTTAGCAGGAACTCCTTTGCATGTTAGGCCCAGACCCCTAATGTAGCCAATCCTAATGAGTTTCTGCTATTGGGTGTGGCCTATTATGCTAATGAGTTCCTGCTGGGCGTGGCCAACTCAGGAACCAGCCGGAACTCTGTTCCTGTGCGTTCCTGCCCAAAAATAGCCCTGGCCGTCACTATTCCAACAAGAAGGAAACATAGTATGGAATCCAAGAAACCAATGTGGATGAACAGAGAACTCCATGATGTGCTAAGGGAGAAAAGGGCAATGCTCATGAAATCGAGGCAAGGACGTACCTTTAAAGAAGATTGCAGGTTGCTAGGCACTGTAGGTCAGCCATCAGAGAGACCAAAGCTCACAGTGAGTGAAAGCTGGCCAGGGAGGCTCACTACAAGAAAATCTTCAGATATGTGAGAAGGAAACACAAGATAAAAGAGGTGATGGGTCCACTGTTGGGTGAAAATGGAGAAACTCTGACAGAGGACAGAAAGAAACTCTGATAGAGGACAGAGAGAAAGGCTTAATGCCTATTTTGCCTCAGTTTTTTCCCCTGAAGAAGAGAACAGGCTCATCTAGAGATGGTGGTAGGCAAGGCAGAGTGGTAGTTGAGAAGCACCTGGCTGCACTGAATGAGTACAAATCCCCCAGCCAGATGGTATGCACCCAAGAGTGCTCAAAGAACTTTCCAGAGAGCTTGCAGGGCCTTTGTCCACCATCTTCCAGACCTCTTGGAGGACAGGAGATATGCCACAAGCCTAGAGAAAGGCAGATGTTATCCCAATTTTCAAAAAAGGGAGGATGGATGACCCAGGAAACTACAGGCCAGTCAGTCTGACCTCTGTTCCAGGGAAGATACTGAAGCAAATTTTAAAGGGATCCATCTGCGAGCATCTAAAGGACAACTTGGTGATCCAGGGAAGTCAGCACACACACAAAAAAGATTTGTCCCCAACAGGTCCTGCCAGACCAACCTCATTTCCTTCTTTAAGCGAGTGACGAGCTTACTGGATCACTGGAATGCTGTTGATGTTGTTTACCTGGATTTCCGTAAAGCTTTTGACAGGGTTCCCCATGATGTTCTGATGGGTAAACTAGAAGACTGTGGACCGGACTCTAGAGTAGTTAGGTGGATAGGGAACAGGTTGGAGAACCTCACTGTAAGAGGAGTTGTCAGTGGCATTTCATCTGAATGGAGGGAGGTACCCAGTGGGTTGCCACAGGGCTCAGTTCTGGTCCCGGTACTTTTCAATATTTTTATAAATGATATGGATGAGGGTGTGGAGGGGCTACTCATTAAATTTGCAGATGACACCAAAGTGGGAGGAGCAGTGAACACACCAGAAGATAGAGACAAAATTCAATGAGATCTGAACACTGGAAAAGTGGGTGGATATGAACAAGATGCAATTTAAAAAGGATAAGTGCCAAGTTCTACATCTGGGTAACAAAATGAGGAACATGCATACTGGATGGGGGATACCCTTCTGAGCAGCTGTGTGTGGGAACAAAATCTTGGGGTATAGGTGGAGTGTAAGTTAAATATGAGCAACCAGTGTGATGCCGCGACAAAAAAGGCTAATGTGATCTTGGGCTGTATCAACAGATGCATAACATCCAAATCATAGTCCCATTGTACACTGCATTGGTCAGGCTGCACCTGGAGTATTGTGTGCAGTTCTGGAGGCTTCACTTCAAAAAGGATGTGGATAGAATGGAGCGGGTGCAGAGGAGAAGCGATGAGGATGATCAGGGGCCTGGACACCAAGTCCTGTGGGGAAAGGCTGAGGGACTTGGGAATGTTCAGTCTGGAGAGGAGGAGGTTGAGGGGGGAAATAGTTGCTCTCTTGAAGTATTTGAAGGGCTGTCACTTAGAGGAGGGCAGGGAGCTGTTCCTGTTGGCAGCAGAGGATAGGATTCACAATAATGGGTTTAAATTAAGGGCAGGAAGGTACCAGCTGGATATTATGAAAACATTTTTTACAGTAAGAGTTGTGCAATAGTGGAATCAGCTACCTAGGGAGGTGGTGAGCTCCCCCTCACTGGCAGTCTTTAAGCAGCAGCTGGACAAACACTTGTCAGGGATGCTCTAGACTGATCCTGCTTGTCAGGCAATGCGGGGTATAAATACAAATAATAAATAAAAAAAATCCTGCATTGAGCAGGGGGTTGGACTAGATGGCCTGAATGTCCCCTTCCAACTCTGTGATTCTATGATTCTGCCTTCTCCTTTTCTCAGACCTCCAGGATTGGTGTGGCTGTCAACACAGTCCGGAAGCACTGCTCCAATGAGGAGGTGGTGGCTCTGGCAAAAATCCTCATCAAGAACTGGAAGAAGTTATTGGGTGAGAGACATTAACGTGTTTTGTTATGCAAGAAGGTGTAGTTATTTACTTCATTTATACCCCAGCAGGGCTCCCAAAGTAGCTTACAAAATTATCCCCTCCTCATTGTCCTGGCACTCATTCACTACTCCCCCCCAAACAAACAAACAAACCCCAAACCAGTTCTGGCTTTTCTCCACTTGAATGGAGCAGGAGGTTCTTCAAAAGAGCCCAGGTAGTATTATCTATTTGCATGTAACAGCTGCCTCCATCACAGGACAACCTTTTGCTAGGGAACTCATTAACATTCTGTTAAACCTCCCAATTTTTTATAGCTGGACCTACCTAGCCCCTGTGGCAAGCGTTCCGTGAGTGGTCCCACCACCCTATGGCAGCCATTTTGTTCCTACCTATTCTTGGCATTCCAAAAATGCCCACGGATCCCATATGGTTAGGGATGCCTGGTCTATTCTGGCAAGGGCTATCCAATCTTTTCCAACTTTTGCTACCTGAGCCTATTTAAATCACAATGCTGAGTACTAAACTTGGACCATCTGCATGCAAAGCAGTTTTAATGCAGCTTTATTAAACACAGAGCCCTGAATAAATCTGCATTATACCACACCCTTAATCTATCAGGATCAGCACTGACTGCTCTGGCTGGTCATAGCTCTCCAGGGTCTCAGCAGAGACCTTCTGTTAAGTGGAAATGTCAGCGACTGAATGTGGGATCTTCCACATATCAAGTGGACCTTCTTCTGTTAGCAGTCAGGCCCCTCCTCTCACTGAGGGGCAATTTATAGCTGGAAAACCATAAGCACCCTTCCTAAAATATCATTTCAAATATCATAAGTGCAATACACTGTCTGGCCTAAAATGACACAAAATGGATGCTAGCCAGGGACAAGTCTGGACTAGAGGTATGCAAAGGGGGAAAAAACCCATTATTTTTCGCGTTCAGGTATATTGAACCTGGAGAATGGTATTTCCCAATATTCCTGAATTCCAGTATCATTATGGTATTGGGATTTGGGAAATAATCGGGAAACCTGGATTTATTCAGCTCCATTATAGCCTATGGGAACCATTTCCCATAGGCTATAATGAAGAATCAATCCAGGGGTTTCTGGGCCTCTGGGGGGACTGTCTTTTGAGGAAGAGGCACCAAAATTTCGGTGTAGCTTCTGGTGCCTCTCCTCAAAAGACCCCCCATGTTTCAAAACGAGTAGACCACGGGGTCCAATTCTATGGGCCCCAGAAGAAGGTGCCCCCATCCACCATTGTTTCCAATTGAAGGGGGAAAGGGACGTGGTCCCTTTAAATGCTTTCTCCAAGCCTTGGTATGACTCCACATGACAGCAAGTGAACTAGGAAGGCAAAATGCAAAATGCCTTCGGAGTTCATTCCAAAGGCATTTAGATGGGTGAGTGAACTTCAAGGGCATTTAAACTTTAAATGCATTTAAACCTTAAATGCCTTCCTGAGAAATCACTCATATGCTTGGCTATGGGGAATGGTCTCCATAGGCTATAATGGAGAATCAATCTGGGGGTATCTGGGACGCTGGGGAGACTACTTTTTGAGGTTGAGGCACCAAATTTGCAGCTGCTGGTTCCTCTCCTCAAGCCCCCCCCCCCATGTTTTTACAATATTAGACCAGGGGGTCCAATTCTGTGGTCCCCCAAAGAAGGTGCCCCCATCCTACATTGTTTCCAATCTAGAAAAAAGGCTTACCCTGTTTCCCCGAAAATAAGACCTACCCCCAAAATAAGCCCTAGCAGGATTTCTGTGCATTTGTGGTATAAGCCCTAGTGTGTCTTCTTGAGAAAAAATAAATATAAGACAGTGTCTTATTTTTGGGGAAACACGGTATTAAGGGATGCAGTCCCTATAAATGCCTGAGTTCACTGGCTGAGTCATGCTGCAACAGCGAGGGCCAGATTCTCCACGTTGAGCCCAAATAAAAGCCGATATTAGACTACCTTCTGGCTCTGCTGATCTGAAGTCACTCGTTCAGGGCAATGTCTTTAAAAATCTGATGGCCCACTATAAGAATCTAGAACCTAACAAAGGTTAGTAAAATGTGAAGAGGGCCAATATTAAAAACTAAATGTAGAAAATATATAGAAAAAGATACATGTATTTATTAATTACAAATTTTAAAACATATATAAGGGCCCATTCACATCAAATATATAAATAACATGGCAATACACATGGGCTTTAAAAACCTGATCTGACGCATTTCGGCCTGCATAGGCCTTCCTCAGAGGTCAAACAATTGAGTGGCTATATAAATATAATACAATCATGTAGACACAATCAGAATAGATACAAAATATAAATTCAATATGGACCAGAAAACCAGCTGTTCCAGAATAAAACCACCAGGCACACAATAAATATGCAAATGAGATCTTTAAAAGTGCAATCACTTGCCCAGTGGTTCTAAAGTATAGACTTTTGGTCCAATAATTGCCTTCTTTGATTGTGTTGCCACAGTGTTCTCAAGTAAAAAGCACACTGTGATATATTTTGCACCTATTCTGATTGTGTCTACATGATTGTATTATATTTATATAGCCACTCAATTGTTTGATCTCTGAGGAAGGCCTATGCAGGCCGAAATGCGTCAGGTCAGGTTTTTAAGCCCGTGTGTATTGCCCGTGTGTTATTTATATATTTGATGTGAATGGGCCCTTATATATGTTTTAAAATTTGTAATTAATAAATACATGTATCTTTTTCTATATATTTTCTACATTTAGTTTTTAATATTGGCCTTCTTTTTCACATTTTACTATCCTTTGTTAGGTTCTGAATTTTAGTGTTAAGGTTCAGTTTTTGCCCTTTCTGTCCCTGCTCCACTATAAAAATCTAACAGTGTTTCTAGGGATATTTCTAGACCTCATTCATGGGGACTAGGAACCTGTTTTAAACATGGGAAATTGACATGCTTGTGAATATAACTAGCAGAAGCCCATTGATGATGGAAAAATACTACAGGGGTGAATAAAGAAGTATCTGCTAACAAAACTAGCCTCTATACCAGGGCTTGCACTAATGGGCTATAATAATAATAACTGGTTGTCCTGTGTTCTTTCAGAATCATCTGGGACCCAGAAGAGTAAGAAGGAGAAAGAAAAAGGTAAAAAGCTCAACATCTCTGGCTGGAAGTCTGAAGATGACATCTCTGTGAAACTCTCCAAAGGTTCTGAAATAAATGAAAAAGACAGGTATTTTCATGTTAGAGCCATTCAGCCAGTGAAGTCTGAAATGTGTGCTGTACTTTCTCTTAAATTACATTCAATCCAGATGCTACTGTTTCAGGATATATATCTTCCATGCATCATGACTAAAATAATGTAGTGTACGGTTGCCAAGTACCTACTTACGAACCGGCGGGGGACACATGCTTCCCCGCCGAAAGATTCTTGCTTGTAACACAGGCGCTGCACTATTCCGTCGCCCAGACATGACATAGGCACGTAGCTGGGCGATGCTCTGGTAATGGAGCTGGAAACTCGATGGTACCATCGAATTTCCAGCCCCATTGCTAGAGCGTCGCTTGGCTACGCGCCTACATCACGTCTGGGCGACGGAATAGTGCAGCGCCTGTGTTTTCCCCGTGGGAATGGTCCCACGAAGAACTACATATCCCCGCCGAATCAAGGTAAGTATTTGGGAGCCCTGATGTAGTGTTTGCTGGGAAATGGCTACTTCCTTCAGTTAGCAGGGCCACCATGATTCAGGATGCTGTCTAGCTTGCAGAATGGCCAGCAGGTACCTATTCAGTACAGCTCACACATGAACCCAGCTTAGCCTTCAGAGGGGTGGCTTGCATAGAATCAGTCTTGAGAGTTTTGCTGGCCTTTTATTTGAAGGGCCTAACTACATGTTACAAAACCTTCAGGTCATGTCCAGGTCTATCACAGGGACTTTTGATCAGATGTGAATTGTGAGTTCCCTGCTGAGAATTCAGTTCCCACGTACATGGGGGCCCATTTCAGACTGGGGCCAAAGTGCACAAAGGAAAGGGGTCTGTGCCTCCTCACAGGCCCCGGTCACACGGAAGGTTTTGGCCCAGGAGAGGGACGGATCAGGGATGCATCAAATGGGCGCGATCTCACCACAAGTAAAAAGCACCACATGGGCGCGATCTCACCACAACATGGGCGCGATCTCACCACAACATCTGGGAAGCGGTGCGCACCCGTCCCCAATCCGGCCCTTCAGACCGAAAACCCGCAGTAAAAAAGAACCACCCCCAGAGGAGGACTTACCAGGAACGCCGCATCAAGCGCGGCCGTGAGATCGCCGGTGCGCCTGTCGTCCAGAGCAATCCAGGCTCCCAGCCGAACTGCGCATGCGCACGCATGCGCAGTTCGGCTGCCTCGCTCCCCTTTCAGTGGCTTCCCCCCCCCCCCCCCCCCCCCCCCTCTCTGCGCCACCGCGTGTCTCTTTTGGTGCGGCTTTAAAAAGCCACACTTTGCCCATGCCCCCCCCCCCCCGTGTGACATGGGCCACAGACTGTTTTCCCAACATGAAAACAGGCCGGATTTCGTGGCAGGTGACTTGCCTGTGGCTCTGGGCTTGTGGTTCATCAGGCTCATGAGTTAAGTCTTTAACAGTCAGCTCAGCAGCTGAATCAAATACTACAAACAGTTCTCATCTTTGAATGCTGGCCACACATTGCTATAACACTGTTTCATAATGGCCCACACCAATTTTGGTGCACAGGTCAATTTATTGATGTTGGTATACTTCAGTACCTTTATTTGGATAGTCCAAGCTAGTCTGATCTCATCAGATCTCAGAAGCTAATGCCAGGGTCCTACACAGAGACAAGCACTGGCAAACCACCACTGAATGTCTCTTGCCCTAAAACCCCTACAGGTTGACAGCAAAAAACAAAAAAACTGCACTAATTCTTAAAACTGAAAGCCATCTTGAATCTTAGAGGAAACAAACTTTATTTTAATTAGATTACATAGGGCATCATCACTAAATCCGCACTTTAGTATGCCAGGTTATCATTATGCATCATGGGGGGGAATCCTGGATGGAAATTGTGCATCAAAGACATGAAATAGGCGATGAAGTCAAACTATTCCACAGTTGAACAAGTGAAGGGGGTCCTAAAGAAAAAGATTATAGACAGCTGTGTTAGTTCAAGAGAACAAAAACATGGTAGTGTAAACAATGTAATTACTTTGTTATAAAATATTATATATTTATTATACATTAAAATATTTTATACTGATATTTTGAGCTTTGGCAAAGTAAGATAATGGAAAGTCAGTAGGCCTTCTGTTCTCTATTCTTGGAGAAGGTTTGGGTTTTAGAAATGATATGAACAACTCAAAAAGTCCTTGGATCTTCTCTTCTCTTCAGGAAATCAAACAAGTCCATCACTCAGTCAGCAACTCCAAAGAGTTCTTCCCTGGTTCCCAAGCCAGAAAGGTATAATTATTTCACTGAGGTCCATCAAGTGGATGGTGGGGAGGAAAATTCTGGAGGCATGGAAAAACTGAGGTCCATCAGAAAGACTGAGGTCTATCAAGTGGTTGTGGGGAGGAAAATTCTAGAGGCATGGATGAAGTGTACATGATGTTTAGTGTTACAAAAAGCCACAAGAGAAACCCACTGCACGTGGATTTTAATGGGAAGAGTTTAGTTATGGAAGTGAATACAGGTGCTTCTCTGTCAATAATCAGTGATCCCACTTATAAATACTCGTAGCCAAATGAGACAGGTCCCCAGTTTGGAGCAACAAAAATGGTGCTGGGTACATATACAATACAAAGCATTCCAGTGAGAAGCTTCAGGGGAGCTAGTCTATCATTTTTGTCACTCTTTTGTCCCTATTGCTTTGGATTCTCTCCCCTTTTCCACATGTATTTTGCTCCCTCTGGGACTACTAGAGAGAGCAAAACACATGTGTGTGTGGGGGGAACCCTGAAGCAATAGGGACAAAGGAATGACAAAAATGACAGTGCGGAAGTGGCCAGTGTTATAGATTATTTCATAATTTCTTCTTAGTTCATTAGCTAGCTTCCTGGGAGTTTCATCCTTTTGGGTCAGTGATCATCTCCCTATTGTTTTGCACATGAATATGCCTTATCATAGAATCATAGAGTTTGAAGAGACCTCCAGGGTCATCTAGTCCAACCCCCTGCACAATGCATGAAATTCACAAATACCTCCCACCACCACCCCCAGTGACCACTGTTCCACACCCAGGAGATGACAAAAAATACCTCTAGGATCTCCAGCCAAACTGACTTGGAGAAAAATTGCTTCCTGACCCCAAAGTGGCAATCAGCATTTTCCTGAGCATGTAAGTAAAGGTAAAGGTTCCCTTACTCGAAAGCCAGTCGAGTCCGACTCTAGGGTTGCGGTGCTCATCTCCGTTTCAAAGCCGAAGAGCCAGCGCTGTCCAAAGACGTTTCCGTGGTCGTGTGGCGGGCATGACTAAACACCAAGGCGCACAGATGTAAGACAGGGCCACAAAAACTAAGCACTGAGGCAACCCTTCCTGCCCTCCCTCTCATGATCTGCCTAAGTTCACACAATCAGCATTGCTGTCAGATGGCTATCTAGCCTCTGTTTGAAGGAGAGCCTACCACCTCCCAAGGAAGCCAGGTCCATTTTGTTTTAATTAATTTTTTTATTGTTTTAAGTCATGATAGTAACAGATAAAGCTATGATATAATACAACTATACATTTTTTGAAATGTAACACATTTAAACGTTGTATAACTACAAGTATGCATATGTAAACAATCAATTTTGGATTATAGACAGGTCTTCATTTTTGCAGCAGTAAAACATACTGCCGTCTGATAGTAGAAACAAGATCTATTGAACATATTTCCTAACTGGAATAAACTCTTCATACAATAAGAGTAAGCATTACTTGTATGATTATATAGAGATATAACACATTCGAGTGACATCAGTTCAACTAAATCATAACATTTTCCCACAAACCTCATTTGTCTTGTGTTCTGTGAAATAGTATCTAATTTGTTTGTAACAGCATCCATGAGATAGTGGTTCCATAGTTTACAGAACCAAGCTTCGGTTGTTGGAGCTTTGTTATCTTTCCAAAAAGTCGCAATGGTAGTCTTGGCAGCGTCAAGCATTATCTCAATAGTCTCTTTATGTGTTCTCTTTATTAACTCTGGTGACCAGGTATTTAAAAACAAAGTTTCTGGTGCAAACGGAACCTGTATCGAAGTCACGTCTTCAATTATTTTAATGACCTCAAACCACAATGCCTTAGCTTTTGCGCATTCCCACCAACAGTGGGCAAAGTCCCCTGTTTTTTGACAACCTTTCCAACATCTTGGGGAGATTGATGGCGATATATGTGAGAATTTCTGAAGCCAGGTTCATTGAGGAACCACTCTGTCAGGAAGTTCTTCCTAATGTTTAGCTGAAAACTCTTCTGATTTAATTTCAACCCATTGGGTCTGGTCTGACCTTCTGGGGCAACAGAAAACAACTTCACACCATCCTCTAGATGACAACCCTTCAAGTACGAAGATGGTTATCATATTACCTCTCAGTCCACTCCTCTCCAGGCTAAACATACCCAGCTCCTTCAATCTTCCCTCACAGGACTTGGTCTCCAGACCCCTCACCATCTTTGTTGCCCTCCTCTGGACATGTTCCAGCTTGTCTATATCCTTCTTAAATTGTGGTGCCCAAAACTGAACACAGTACTCTAGGTGAGGTCTAACCAGAGCAGAGTAAAGTGATACCATCTCTTTGCGTGATAGAGACATGATACTTCTGTTGATACAGCCCAAAATTGCATTTGCCTTTTTAGCTACCGCATCACACTGCTGACTCATGTTCAGTGTATGGTCTGCTAAGACCCCTAGATCCTTTTTGCATATAGTACTGCCGAAAGAAGTTTCCCCAATCATATAATTATGCATTTGATTTTTCCTACATAAATGCCGAACTTTACATTTATCCCCATTGAAATTCATTTTATTTGCTTTAGCCCAGTTTTCCAGAATATCAAGATCATCCTGTATCCTGACTCTGTTTTCTATCGTATTTGCTACCCCTCCCAATTTAGTATCATCTCAAATTTAATAAGGATTCCCTCTATTCCTTCATCCAAATCATTGATAAAGATGTTGAAGAAAACAGGTCCCAGGACTCCACTTGTCACTCCTCTCCAAGAGGATGAGGAACCATTAACGAGTACTCTTTGGGTGCAATCTGTCAACCAGTTACAGATCCACTTAACAGTAATAGGATCTAAACTACATTTTACCAATTTGCCAACAAGAATATTATGTGGAACCTTATCAAAAGCCTCACTGAAAAGATAGACTATGTCTACATAATTCCCCTGATCCAGCAACGTAGTAACTTTCTCAAAAAAAAAAAAAAAAAAAAAAGCTCAAAGACCGTCTGCTTGATGATTTGTTCTAAAACTTTCCCAGGTATAGGCATCAAGCTGACAGGTTGGTAGTTACCCGGATCCTCCTTTCCCCCCTTCTTGAAGATGGGGACAACATTTGTCCGCCTCCAATCTTCTGGGACCTCACCTGTTCTCCAAAAATTCTCAAAAATAATGGACGGAGGCTCAGAAATTACATCCATGAGTTCTTTTAGTACCCTTGGATGCAGTTCATCTGGCCCTGAGGACTTAGTTTCATTTAAAGAAACTAGGTGTTTATGTACTACCCCTATGCCAATCCTAGGCTGTAACTCCCTTCCCTCATCATGTGTTCTGTTTTTGCCATGTTGAGCACCATTTCCCTTGCAAGACAAGACTGATGAAAAGTAGGAATTGAGCATTTCTGCCCTCTCTTCATCACCTCTTATAATTTCACTTTCTTGTTCCTACAACAGGCCTACCATGTCCTTGCTCTTTTTCTTACTTTGAACATAAGAAAATAACCTTTTTTGGTTATTTTTAGCATCTTTTGCTAGCCTTAGCTTATACTGAGCTTTAGCTTTTTCTAACTCTCTCTCTACAAGCACTGGTTATTTGTTTATATTCATCCTTGGTCCCCCTTCCACTTTCTAAATAAATCTTTTTTATTTCTCAAGTCTTTAGAAAGCTGTTTATGGAGCCACCTTGGCTTCTTTAAGCTCCTTCCATTTTTCCTACTCATAGGAATTGTTTGTGACTGTGCCTTCAGTATTTCACATTTAAGAAGCTGCCATCTCTCTTGAACTCCCTTCTCCTTAAGTATTTCTGACCATGGGATTCTACCCAGCATAACTTTAAGTTTGTCAAAATTTGCTTTCCAGAGGTCCAACCTATATATCTGACTATATACAGCTTTTACCTTCCCCATGGTCACTACTACCCAGAGTGCCCACTACTTTCACCTCATCAACCAGTTCTTCCCTGTTGGTAAGAATCAAGTCCAAGCTAGCAGATCCCCTTGTTTCCCTCTCCACTTTCTGGAAAATGAAGTTGTCAGCAAGACAAGTCAGGAATTTATTGGACCGTTCATTTTTAGCAGAGTTGGATAGCTGGGTAATTGAAATCTCCCATGAAAACCGTGTCCCATCTCTTTGAGAACTTTCTATTCTAGGGGTGTCTCATCCAAGACCTCTGCCTAGGTTGGTGGGCTATAGCAGACCCCCAACATAATATCACTATTATTTCTTACTCCTTTTATTTTTACTCAGAGACTCTCAACTGGACTTCCATGCTCAGATTCACATATTTCCTCAGAAGTATATACCTCCTTTACATACAATGTGACTCCTCCGTCCTTCTTTATTTGTCTGTCCCTCTTAAATAAGTTGTACCCCTCAATCCTAATATTCCAGTTGTGAGTGTCATCCCACCAAGTTTCAGTAATGCCTATTAGGTCATAGTCCCCTTCCTGTATTAGGACTTCAAGTTCCTCCTGTGTCAGGAACCACAGTCAAACAACGGAGCACACACTTCCAAGAAAGGTTTTGGTTTATTGACAGTACTATGGTTGCAATAACATGGTCACTGTTAGGAACAGCAAGCATGGAATAAGCCTACAGTAATATAGAAGATTTAAGAGGTCCCCCCCCCCACCTGTGGGCCAATCGGCCCGTTTCCCACGTTTCCCATACTCTGCACATTAATGTAGAGACATCGGAATCCATGTTTTATGCACCCTGAGGTTTTTGTTTCTGTACTTACCTGTGAGTTAATGTTACCTAGCATATGTGCCACGCCCAGCAAAACCTTAGAGTTTTTATCTCCAGGTATTGGCATCATACTATGCTTTGCATTTTTGTCTCGGTTCCCCATAGGATTTAGTTTAAAGCTCTCCTTATTAGATTTGCAATGCAGTCACCAAACACATTTTTTCCTGCCCTCTGTGAGGTTCAAACTATCTCCCGATAGAAGAGCTTCATCTTGAAAGTGTAAGCCATAGTCCAAAAATCAAAACCTTTCCTTATGACACTATCTATGTAGCCAGGCATTTAGTTGTAGTATTCATCTTTACCTTCCTAAGCCACGGCCTTTGACAGGAAGAACTGACAAAAACACAACCTGCACTCCCAATTTCTTCACCTTTTTACCCAGAGCCACATTCTGGGCTGTGCTGGGCGGTATCTTAAAGTGGCTTTCCTCCTCCCTCTGTAGTCAGGGACAGAGGGTGGTGCTGGGAAGACGATGTCAACTAGGTACCTCTTAACATGTGAGGTTCCTCAGGGGGAATTCCTCTCCCTGATGTAATTCAACATCTATATGCGCCCCCTTGCCCAGCTGGTGCGGAGCTTCGGGTTGGGATGTCATCAGTATGCTGATGACACTCAGGTATATCTGCTACTGGATGGCCATCCAGATGCTGCCATGCATAATTTGGCCAAGGGTCTGGAGGCTGTAGTGGGATGGTTAAAACAGAGTAGGCTGAGGCTGAATCCAACGAAGACAGAGGTTCTGTGGCTGGGGGGGGGGCATCAGGGCTGGAGCATAGACTTCCCACCCGTGATGGGGCACCACTAACACCAGCACAATCCGTCAAGAGTTTGGGCATTGTCCTGGATGCCTCCTTAACTATGGAGGCCCAGGTCACAAATATTGCCAGACTAGCATTTTCCCATCTATGCCAAGTGTGGCAACTAGCCCCTTTCCTGTCGCGCCCTGACCTAGCCACAGGAATCCATGCAATGGTCACCTCCAGATTAGACTACTGTAACTACGCTCTATGCTGGCCTTCCCTTGAGACTGATACAGAAACTCCAGCTGATCCAGAATGTGGCAGCGTGAGTCCTGACGGGAACACCATGGATGGCACATATACAACCTGTACTGCGCCAGCTACACTGGCTACCAGTGGAATACCGAGTCAGATTCAAGGTGTTGGTTCTGACCTTCAAGGCCTTGAGCAGTCTGGGACCAGCATGTCTTTGGGTCTGTCTCCTCTGGTATGTCTGCGGGGGAAGCGTTATGCTCAGCTGAGAGCAATCTGCTGGTGATCCCTGGTCGCAAATATATCTGGCTGTCCTCGACCAGAGCCAGGGCTTTCTTGGCCCTGGTTCTGACCTGGTGGAACTCTTTGCCAGCTTCCATCAGGGTTCTGTGGGACTTAATGACATTTCGCAGGCTCTGTAAGGCACAGACATTCCGCCAGGCTTTTGGTTGAGGACAGCAATGGTTTTCCATCATAGCTGGCATTTTCATGGTCTGTTGTATATGTTGCAGTTAAGGGTTTTTTAAAGTTTAAAGTTTTATTCTTAATTTATAATTAAATAAGACTGCTCTTGTGTCTGCTTTGGCACCACTGTCTTTAAATAACTGCATCTCATTTTCAGGAGACCCTCCACATGCTCCAACCCAGCTGCGTCTCCTACTGGGTCTTGGAAAAACTCCACAAATGGAAAAGAGGATAGGTAAGGGGATGGAGATGATAATATGCAATAGATGAAGCCAGTTATGGATAGTGTGGGAACCATAGGAAATCCCCCCAAGGTGGGATTGCTAGTGTTTAAGGGCCTCTTCCCATTCTTGGGACTAGGGTTGCCATCAAAATCTGTGTTTCTGGCTCAATTATAGCTTATGGGGACTATTATAGTCAATGAGCCCCATAGGCTATAATGGAGAATTGATCTGCAGGAAACTGGGGCTCTGGGAGGGGCTGTCTTTTGAGGCAGAGGCACCAAATTTACAACATAGCTGCTGCTGCATCTCCTCAAAAAAAGCCTCCAAGTTTCAAAACGTTTGGACCAGGGGGCTCGCTACAATAAGAAAAACTTCTACAGTTATGTGAGAAGCAAACGCAAGGTAAAAGAGGCAATTGGACCACTTTTGGGAGTAGAAGGAGAGACTCTGGTGGAGGACAAAGAAAAAGCAGACAGGCTTAATGACTTTTTTGTCTGTTTTCTCCCTGAAGAACTTAAGCCCATCTAGAGATCCACTTGAGTGTCCACTTGACATTGACAGGGAGGTTGTGGAGAGGCACCTGGCTGCACTGGATGAATACAAATCTCCTGGGCTAGATGGTGTGCACCCAAGAGTGCTCAAAGAACTTGCAGAGCCTCTGCCCATCATCTTCAAGGCCTCCTGGAGGACTGGGGATGTGCCACAAGATTGGATGAGAGCTAACGTTATCCCAATCTTTAAGAAAGGGAAGAAGGATGACCTGGGAAACTACAGGCTGGTCAGTCTGACTTCTGTTGCTGGGAAGATATTAGAACAGATTTTAAAGGGGTCGATCTGTAAGCATCCGAAGGACCACTTAGTGATCCAGGGAAGGCAGCATGGTTTTGTCCCGAACAGATCTTGTCAGACCAACCTGGTTTCCTTGTTTGATCGTGTGACAAGTTTACTGGATCATGGGAACTCTGTTGATGTGATTTACCTCGATTTCAGTAAAGCTTTTGATAAGGTTCCCCATTTGATAAGGTTACCCATTCTGATGGGCAAACTGGAAGACTATGGACTGGACTATAGGACAATTCGGTGGATAGGGAACTGATTAGAGGACCGCACCCAAAGAGTGGCGGTCAATGGCGTTTCATCAGATTGAAGGGAGGTGTCCAGCGGGGTGCCGCAGGGCTTGGTTTTGGGCCCAGTACTTTTCAATATTTTTATCATTGACCTGGATGATGGGGTAGAAGGGCTAATCATTAAATCTGCTTATGATACCAAATTGGGAGGAGTAGCGAACACCCAAGAAGATAGAGTTAAAATTCAACAAGACCTGAATACTCTGGAGAAGTGGACAGTTGTGAGCAGGATGCAATTCAAAAGATAAATGCACAGTATTACATCTGGGCCATAAAAATGTCAAGCACAAATACTGGATGGGGGATACGTTTCTAGGGAGTACTGTATGCAGGGCCGGCTCGCTCACTAGGCAAACTAGGCGTTCACCTAGAGCGCCCCAGCCCTTGGGGCGCCAAACTGCACCCACCCCCCGCCAAAAGCGCCCCTGCTGGCTCTGACAGGGGGGGCACGGGGGGGGGGCGCCAGAAGGGATCCTCGCCTAGGTGCAAAATATGCTGGGGCCGGACCTGACTGTATGCGAAAGAGCTCTTGGGGTAAGAGTGGACTGTAAACTAAATATAAGCAGTCAGTGTGATGCGGTGGTAAAAAAGGCAAATTCAGTCTTGGGTTGCATTAAAAGGGCCATAGCATCAAAATCGCAGGAGGTAATAGCCCCTCTGTATACTGCCTTGGTCAGGCCGCACCTTGAGTACTGTGTGCAGTTCTGGAGGCCTCACTTCAAAAAGAATGTGGACAAAATCGATAGGGTGCAGAAGAGAGTGACAAGGATGATCAGGGGTCTGGAGACTGAGCCCTACGAGGAAAGGCTAAGGGCCCTGGGAATGTTTCATTTGGAGAAGAGGAGATTGAGGGGGGGCATGATTGCTCTCTTTAAATATTTGAAAGGCTGTCATTTGGAGGAGGGCAAGGAGCTGTTCCAGTTGGCAGCAGAGGATAGGACCTGAAGCAACTGGTTTAAATTACATGCAGAAAGGTATTGGCTGGATATTAGGAAAAACTTTTTATCGTCAGAGTAGTTCAAAGGTGGAATCAGTTGCCTAGAGAGGTGGTTAGCTCCCCTTCACTGACAGCTTTCAAGAAGAGGCTGGACGAATATTTGCCAGAGATGCTTTAGGCTGGTCCTGCATTGGGCAGGGGGTTGGACTAGATGGTCTGTATGTCCCCTTCCAACTCTATGATTTTATGATAATAGGGTATAACACCACTGAGTCCACCTTCCAAGGCAGCCATTTTTTCCAGGTGAACTGATCTCTATTGCATGGGAATCAGTTGTAATATAGTGGGAGATCTACAGTTGCCACTTGGAGGTTGGCAACTCTAATTCTGAGATTTGTAGTTTGTAAAATTTCTGACATCATTCATAGGGAAGGGCATGAACCACATTTTTTAGGTTCAGTTCGTGATTTGTGGCTGAACGATAAACCAATATGCTGCTTTGCGAAACAAACCAGTTTGTACCAGTTTGTGAGCCATTTAAAGTTTAAACCCCTGCTTTCTGCTTCCCATGGCTTTTTGTGGGGAGCAGAAAGCAGGGGTTTCCAACAGCTGAGCGCTCAGCTGTATGGTTTAAATGGCTCCGAGCCATTTAATTCCTGCTTTCTGCTCTCTGTGAAAAGCTGTGGGGAACGGAAAGCAGGGGTTTCCAAACAGTTCAGCTGTTTTTCATGAACAGCAGAAAGCCAGAAATTTGTGGATGTGAATGTTCATGCTGGTTCTTCAGTTTGCGAACATCACTTTGCAAACCACAAACAGCCAAAATTTGTGATGAACTTTAGATTGTCAGCCAGTTCATGCCTATCCCTAATAATTAATTCCAGAGTCTAAAATCACCTTCACCACTGAATGGAAACATGTTTTTCCCCCCTGTAAGTGAAGAATCCCAGGTTTCTCAGGACTCAGGCTGTGATTGGGGCTAAGGAGATAACTATTAAGCCTTGTGGCTGCTTGTGTTAAGCTCTGTCTTTTCCTGTCCTGTTCATATTCAACAGCAAACCAATGCCGAATGGACCCAAGGCACCCACCAGCCCCATCTCCCCAACGTTTGCATCTTCTGCCACCATTTTCCCGCCCTACTATCTGACAGGAGACTCTGTCCGAGACAAGTGCATCGAGATGGTCTCTGGAGCTTTGAAAATGGATGGTGAGACGTCAAACGGTTATACTTTAGGGCATCATTTTTGGACAGCAAGCTGCAGACTGAATGTCATCATTAGCTGGGTAGGAGAGGTGTAAAATGTTCAACATTTAGTATTAATTTGCACAGTGACTTAGCCTAATTTTCTGGGAGTGTTTTAGGGTGCCTTGATGAAGGTATTAATGGTTGTGCTGCTTTGCCCTGTAAAGACCTCAACTGCAGCTCACATGGCTCTTTTGCACTTGAAGCTTGCCTTTGGGTACCGATGCACGGCTATTCTGGATCGCCGATTTTACCTTTGCTTTACAGGTGTCGATCTTCTAATTAAACCTAGGTTACCCTTTCTGCTGTTTACCTGCGTCCCCTTTCCCTTGCAGCTCAGTGGAATGCCCTTCCACCAGACATTTTATTACCTTAGTCTAATTGGATATTCAGGTGCCCCCACAAGACTCATCTGTTTACTCTCAGTCCCTTATTGAGTCTCCTCTCCTCCCCAATGTCTTTAGTTTTGGTGTAGTGGTTAAGTGCGCGGACTCTAATCTGAGAGAACCGGGTTTGATTCCCCACTCCTCCGCTTGCACCTGGCTGGATGACCTTGGGCAAGCCATAACTCTGGCACAGCTGTTCTTGAAAAAGAGCAGTTTCTGTCAAGAGTTCTCTCAGCCCCACCTACCTCACAGGGTGTCTGTTGTGGGGAGGGGAAGGGAAAGGAGTTTGTAAGCCGCTCTGAGACACCTTTGGGTAGTGAAGGGCGGGGTATAATCCAATCTCTTCTTCTAGTTTTTGCCTGTCTCCAAGCCATGTTTTGTTTTAATTCTTGACTTAGCAATTTGAGATGTGTTACTTATATCTATCTAAAATATTTTCATGCCACTCTTCCTCCAAGGGGCTCAGGTAGCAGTAATGGTGCTCCCTTCTCCCTACCTTGTGAGGTGGGTTAGGCTGAGAAAGAATCATTTGCCCAAAGTCCCCTAGACAAGAAATCAGACGAGAGCTGGGAATTCCACACTCAGAGATCTTTTAAACTCAGTGTTAAGGGATGAGGGCTTCACTGTTTTCCCAACCTGCAAAGGCCCTGGAAAGCTGGTATTTGCCCCACTGGACTTAAACATTCTTGTCTGGGGGCTCATGGTGGTTCCTCTGGTTCCTCTGTACTGATTGCTTTGCTCTATTTCCCATGCTCCAACAAGGGTCAGATATTTACACCCTCAAAACCACAATCTCCACAATATAGCAGTTGAACTGACAAAGCTGGTGTGGGGGGGGGGGCAGAAAGAGAGGCGTGGCAGTAGAGGGACAGAAAGTAAGAGAGGGGGTGGGGGACTGAAAGAGAGAGAGAGAGAGAGAGAGACCGAGACAAGATGGGGGAGAAGAGCAGGGTTGCCAGCCCCCAGGTGGGAGCAGGGGATCCCCCTATTTCATGGGCTCCTGCCTGCCACTAGCCAGCTGGCCATTGAGTTTTCCCTCCGATGGTCGTGGCCCCAGCGTGCCCAGCGTCGTCACGTCACTTCCGGGTGACGTGCACATCGGGGTGGGGTTCCCCCTGGGCCCAATCCGCCGCCGGCGGGGAACGGGCCTCTGGGGCAGGGGTTTCCCCGCCCCCCGGGGGGACTTGGCAAGCCTACCTGGAGCAGAGTCCCAGATGTCAAGAAGGCCTTCTTGCAACAGCAGGAACTCTTCCTGTGAAGACCCTGGATGAATCTTCAAACTTGTTTGTTGCCATAGGAGCAGTTCCCCTTTCCTCCTGGCAAGACAAAACGGGGCAGTTCTGTACCAGGGGGCTGATTTCAGTGCAGTCAATGTCAGCAATTCCTGCTCTTCAGCTCTTTCCAGCTACCGCAGCTCTCCCAGTGAGGATTGTTCCGTTCTTCCCAGCTAGCAATTTCAGCTTTGTCCCCTCGGTCCTTTTTGCCCTTCAGAGAGTACTACCTTCAGTGCTTCTCAGTTGATCTACTCTCCTTGTCCTTTCAGCTAGCCCAGTCCTGCTTTATACCACCTTTCATTGTCATGGTGGCTGTTTCAAAAGCATACTCCATAAGCCTTTGCTAAACATGCACATTAACACAAGCAGATGTACACATCAACTATCTGCTAGTCCGGTCTGGCCTAAGGTGTATCTAAGTATCTGTGGTCTGCTAATCAGATTTAGGCCCCAAAATTCATGTTAGATTCATTTTATTCATGTTAGAATAAAATCTTGTTAGCCCTTAGCTTCGACTTATCTATGTTTCTTAAGATGCAAATGTTTCTCCTTTCTGTAGCTGCAAGGAAACTTTCTAAACTGTGAGACTGGGTAGGGTTTCCAATGGCCTGATATCCCCTCCAGGGGAGGCAGCCAAGTGCAACCTAAGAAGGCTGATGTGAACTGGTGAGATTTGGAAGGGTTTTGCTGTATCTGTTCCTGCCTTTTACCTTGAACCCTGGATCCCACAAGCCTTTCCAGTATTTCTAAGTAGCTTGGAGATGGAGGCAGTTGGGGAAAATGGAGACAGTTGGGGGAAATGAGGTAGGCCGGGCAAGAATACCTCTCAGTTTGGCTTGCTTCTTAGCGAGTTCCTTTTTCCTCAATTACAATTTTGGTTCTGTTGGCTCCATTCAAGTGCAAAGATCTGTTTTCTCTTTCCTTTTTGGAACTCTTTGTAGATGATTATAAGGAATTTGGAGTTAATTGTGACAAGATGGCAGCTGAAATTGAAGATCATATCCTTTGGGGAGTATAGGTTCCTGGTTGTTGGTGTGGGCTGAAGGAAGCTCTTGGTTGGGTGGTGGTGATGGAACTTGAATATCTAACAGCCAGTTTTACGGCAGTTGCAAACATGAGATCTAAAATGCATCCCTATGAGGTAGAAGATGTCTTGATCTGGTTCTCAGTAGTTTTCTGCTGGGGACAAGGGATTCCCCTGCCCCCAGGTCCCATCTCCTGCTGCTGCCCACTCCCACCTGTCCCATTCTCAGACTTGCCAACTTCCAGGTGAGCCTGAAGACTTCAGGAAATTAGCTTATCTCCTGACTACAGAGATCAGTTCCCCAAGAGAAAATGACTGCTTTGGAGGGTGGACTCTATGGCATTATACCTCACCCTCTCCAGGGCCACCCCCAAATCCCTAGGATTTTCCCAACCTAGAACTGTTACCCTAAAACATCTTGTGTCTTTGCTGGGAAATACTGAACAGCATTTTGGGGTAAAGGAGTTAGAACATTGGGTTGTGTGACTCCTCCTCCGTTGTATCAGGGGCTTGAATTTCAGTTACAAGCTACTGGAATGCCATGGAAAAATTGGGGAAGGGCATAACAGCACCACTCCGACCTCCCTGGGCAGGGAATTTCCCCATTGCATCCCTGGGACATGGCAATGGAGGTATTTTCCCATGGCACCTCAGGGTTTCACTGTACTGAAATGCAAGCAGTTACGTGGGCCATAATAGAGCTCAATACTGTCATGAGGCAGCCCATTTAACTCCAACCAGGATACATTATGGGCAGCAGCACTTCAGACCTGCAGGTGATCATGTTTGGGAGTGCTCCTAGGGTTGCCAAGTGTATCTTCGCCGGGAGCGGGGGGCTCCCGGCCGGCGTCTTGTGCGTGTGCGCGCGCACCGCACGCATGTCACCCGGAAGTGACGGGAGGACGCCAGGCACGCTGGGGCGGGGCCACGGCCATACAAGGGAAAACCATAGAGTTTTCATATGGCCGTGGCCCCGCCCCCAGCGTGCCCGGCGTGCCCACGTCACTTCCTGGTGATGCGCATGCCGGGGAGGGGTTCCCCCCGGGGCCCGATTCTGCGGCGGGGGAAATAGGGACGCGCAAGCGAGGGTTTACCTGCCACCCGCCCCCCACTTGGCAGCCCTAAGTGCTCCTGATTGATAAATAGTACTTCCCTGTTCAGAGGCAGTGTACCTCTGAAGCCCAGTTGCTGGGGAGGGGACAATGAGGAGGACTATTGCTTTTCATGCCTTGGTTTGTGGGCTTCCTGAAGGCATCCAGTTGGCTGAGGAACAGGATGCCGAGCCTTTGAACACATCCAGCATGGACTTTCTTATGACTCTCAAGGGTAGAAGGGTCACCCGTTGCCCCAGTCTGCATTTTGTGCTTATTCCTTGATGATCCCACATATCTACCAGGAGCTGAAAGGCACCGATATGAAATACCGTAACCGTGTGAGGAGCCGGATCAGCAACCTGAAGGATCCCAAGAACCCCAGCTTGCGCAGAAACGTGTTGAGTGGAGCCATACCACCCAGCCTTATTGCCAAGATGACTGCAGAAGTAAGTGTGGAAATTGTGGTATTGTAGCTTCTCTGGTCCCAGCTCCTGCCAACCTAGCAGTCTGAAAGCAAGAAATTGCAAGTAGATAAATAGGTACCACTTTGGTGGGAAGGTAGCAGCGTTCTGTGTGCCTCGGCATTTAGTCATGCAGGCCTTATGACCACGGAAATGTCTTTGGACAGCGCTGGCTCTTCGGCTTGGAAATGGAGATGAGCACCGCATCCCTAGAGTCGGATTCGACTGGCTTTCAAGCAAGGGAAACCTTTACCTTTACCTTTACTAGTTTATTTTTAACCACAAGTGAGTTTGATGGAATTGGCACACTTACCATTTGTCTAAGGATTGGGTGGGGAGAAATCTGAAATCCTAGAATGTTTAAAATAAGTTTCCATTTTTTTTTCTGCATATGATGGTATAGTCAGAGTGTAGCATAAGGTTCTAGGAGAACAGAGTTCAAAACTTCACACTTGTGGGTTTTCCCAGCAGGTCAAATACCGCCCCCCCCCAACCATTTCAGGTTTAAAAAATGAAGTCAGGGAGCTGAAGCCTCTTCTTCACACACACCACTGTCACAGTCCTTATCAGGCACAATGCATGTGGGAACGGAGAAGAAGCCATAAGTCACGTGTAATTAGTTAAGTCCTGGACCTAACTGTTGTTCTCTGTAATGTGTGAGTTGGTTCTTGTAAATCCTAGAGAGCAATCAAGAAAGAAACCAATTCTGAAGCTTTGGAATGGTCTCTGATCACAATGGCCCCTTTATGTGTTCCAGGAAATGGCAAGTGATGAATTGAAGGAGCTAAGGAGTGCCATGACCCAAGAAGCCATCCGAGAACATCAGATGGCAAAGACAGGAGGCACCACAACAGATCTTTTCCAGTGTGGCAAATGCAAGAAGAAGAATTGCACATATAATCAGGTGAGGTACCCAGACTGGGCAAGAGCTGTTGTTGAAGCAGGAGAAAACAAGTTGAGTGATTCCAAACATGGTGCCCATCAATGTGTTTCCTGGTGCCCACTTGCTACTCTCCTCAAGGCAAAGACTGGCCAACATTCAGAAATGGCTGCTTGCATCATAGCAGGATGGGAAACTCCAAACATTTTGCGATTGGTCCTGTCTCCATGGCTGCCATTTTGAGGTGGTGCTGAATATACTTTCTCAGCTTCCAAAAATGCCCACAGGCTCAACAAGATTGAGGACCCCTGTCCTAAGGCGATTATTTTCAGGCAGAGCAGGGGGTCTTGACTCAAGCCTATTTGATAGATGTGCCCTTTGACTTTCGTGAACTATCATCTTTCTTTAACAGGGCTAATGGCAGCGTGTGTGTGCGTGGGGTGTCAACTGGTAGAATGGCATTGGAAGAAAGAGTTACCCCATCATCTCAGAAGCTTGGGAATGCTTACGGCTCTTAGTCATGGTGACATGAACAAAAACAGTCTATGGCTGCAGTCATACTGGAGGCTTGGCGCTATCTGGCTGCGCCTGTATTTATGGCAGGTTAAATAGTTGCAGGAAGTTTTGATCAGACATCCCACCCTGAACTGACTTCACTGTGCACTCACCCCATGGTCCATTGTTCCCATTTTTTCAACATTTTTTTTTTTTTTTTGTCTTTCACCCATGCGCATAAGCCTGTATCTGAAACTCTGGTTCCTTTCTGACAGCTCCACAATCTCTCTGCCAAGTACTCTGGCTCCTCTCAGCCTCCTTCCTTTCACCTCTCTTCTGTGAAATATTGGGGCGGGGGTAAAGTGCAGATTTACATGAGAGTAGTCCCATTGACTTGTGTCAATCATGGGATGCTCTCATGTGGGGACTTAATTCCCTGTTTTTGCTGCTCCATGTGCACAAAATACTCCCAGCTTTTAAAACCCAGCACCAACTATTTTAAAAAGCAAACATCTAGTTGGCCCTGAATGGCACTTACATGTCCAGAGGCAGTAATGCCTTGGCCTCTGTGCCTGCCCTGCTTGTAGGCCTCTTCAGGAGCATCTGGCTGGCTCATGCGAAGAATGTGGTCGTTTTGGGAAATGCTGCAGGGTCACAGAAGGTCTCAAATCCAATGACTCATGAAACCTTGACTCATGAGTCTCTTATACTGGGGTGGATCCAACCATCCTTCAAGTAGTCTGCCTCCAGCCTAAGAAAGTAAACTTGAGCCAAAAGAAAAGTCAGACCCTTGGTCTCTCCCTACACAGATCTTTGTCCCTCTCCAGGAGAAACAAATATGCAAACCAAATATAGGTATGCAAGTATGCCTTCCTTAGCATAATTGATTCAAGTTGCAGAATTCAATATTTTGTGATGCAATGCAAAAATGTTGTAGTGCAGAATATGCATAGTTATGACAATGTTGATAAAACTCATTTATTTAGTCAGGAATTCTGGTTTTCCCCTTCAGGTGCAAACACGGAGCGCTGATGAGCCCATGACAACATTTGTGCTGTGTAATGAATGCGGGAACCGGTGGAAGGTCTGTACCATTCTTCATTCCTCAGCCTTACCATATGATCATATCCCTGTAATCCAGCATCCCCTCCACAGCCTGGCTTGTGCTGCTCTAGATCAGAGGTTTTCAACTGGAGCCTCTTAAAATCATGTCTTACACTCTGCTAGAAGTTCTATGAACCAATCCTCCAGTGTTACTCTTTTGTCAAAATATCAGGTGTACAGGGGCCCAGTTTCAATAGGACCAAAGCATCAGGGAAGAGGGTATTTGGAGCTTCCCTATGAATAGATAGATAGATAGATAGATAGATAGATAGATAGATAGATAGATAGATAGATAGATAGATAAGATTATGACTATAAGAGAAAACTACAGTTAATATGACTATAAGAGAAAACTGTCTGAAATTGCACTATATCCCAGACAGGACCTGTAGGATAAATAAAAAGATCAATAACCTATGTTGGAAATGTTTACAAGCTAACGATTCTGCCCAGCTTTGAAGCAATTTAGGCAAAATGTCTGCAATGTATTAAGTGAGATGGTGAAAAGACAAGTGGTATGTAGTCCTATGCTGATCCTGTTTGGACAGTTTAGACTGGTAAAAGGCATGTGGGTCTATTGAGAAATATGATAGTTGCAGCAAGATTATTTATTGCAAAGTAATTGGTGATACTACCAATAGACTTATGGTAGAAGAAGAAGAAGAGATTGGATTTATATCCCACCCTTCACTACCCAAAGGAGTCTCAGAGTGGTTTACAATCCCTTTCCCTTCCCCTCCCGACAACAGACACCTTGTGAGGTAGGTGAGGCTGAGAGAGCTCTCCAGAGAACTGCCCTTGAGAGAACAGCCCTGAAAGAACTTATGACTGACCCAAGGTCACACCAGCAGCTGCATGTGAAGGTGTGGGGAATCAAACCCGGTTCTCCCAGATTAGAGTCCACGCTCCTAACCACTACACCAAACTGGAAGCATTGATCATGGACAAAATTACAGTGTGCAAGCTATTAAAAGAAAGAAAGTTACACACAGGTTTTATTTGTGAAGATGCGGTGGCCTTTTATTAATTACTGGAATATGTGAAAACCAGAGGAAGACAGAAGAAGAGGGAGTTTTTATACCCTGCTTTTCTCTACCTTAAGGAGTCTCAAAGCAGCTTACAGTCCCCTTCCTCTCCCCACAACAGGCACTTTGTGAGGTAGGTGGGAGTTCTGAGAGAACTGTGACTGGCCCAAGGTCACCCAGCAGGCATCATGTGGAGGAGTCTGGAATCAAACCTGATTCTCCAGATTCAAGTCCACCACTCTTAACCACTACCCCACACTGTCTCTGAGAGGCTGAAATTCTGTTGTATATTTACAATTTATTTCTGTATCTTACATTGTTGTTTAAAAAATTGTGGGTTAAGTATTTAGATGTAAGAGTCACTAATTAGAATCAGCTAGATGTTAGAGCACGTGTTATGCCTTTGTTGTAACATTGCAGTATTTATTAGGTAACATCTTCTGATTCAAATTTTGTAATCATATTCAATTATATCAAATTTAAAATATATAAATCAGAGCTCTGGATTAGACTTGTGTTTACAGCCATTACAACTGAACCTGGGTTTCCTGCATCCAAATTCCAAGGTGGTCCAGAGCATGGGACTTAGGTCTTTATTCTGCCCTTTGTTTTACAGTTCTGCTGATGCGCCTTTCATTTCTGCACATGCCACTGGTGGTGAAGATGCTGGCCTTTCCCAACAAGAGAGGGGAGAAGTTTTGACTGACCGCTGCAGAAATGGAAGCAGGAAAAGGGGAAATCCTGAACCGTGAAGGTGCTGGACTTTCAACCCCATAACCATCCAGTTTCTGACAAACACAATACAAGTGAATTCACTCATTAGAAACAATGGGATTGGGGGGAAATCCAGGTGGTGGTATGAAGTTTTGATAAAGCGGTATGCCATCTCATGCCCATCTCATGCAAGCACAGAGTCCAGCATCCTCAGCATCTTCACTTCCTTATTTAAAAAAAACAACAAATAGGGTTCCTAGTCCTTCAGCTTGCAAAGGTAGGCTTGGTCTGGCCACCACATTAGTGAAATCCTCAATGCAGAGGTAGGGCTGAGCACGATTTGTCAGTCTTCAAGGTGTGCAGTTTCCATGCCTTGCCATGCTGTATGCCCTGCTGATAACTTGCTGTAGTCAAAGAAGGTCACAAAACTTCAGCTTTCCTTGTAGATAATTTTTTATTTCAGAGCAGGTACATCTTTGACTCTTAATTACACAATCCACTTTTGTGCCTCTGTTTTATACATAATGTGCTGTCAGAGCATGGTATCCATTTGAAGACTTCTTGGGGGAGTCAGCCATTGGATGTAAGAGAGCAGAGTAATGCTATCATCTGGTTCAGTTACATGATCGGTGTGGGTTCAAGGGTGACCTGGGTGTGTTTTTCTTTCCAAGAATGTCTGAAGTGTTCTTAACACCTTTGCTAAGTGGTATGTCACCACTAATAATCATGTACATTAGTAAATTCTGAATTCTCATGATTCATTGTGTGTCAGTCCTTGAGCAGGAGGATGGATCTCTACCACAGGAGTCGGCAACCTTTTACAAATAAAGAGCAAAACTGTGTCAAAAGTCAACAGCAGATCAACAAAGAGCCAGTATTAGACAGCCTATTTGCAAATCTGAATCTATACTGATAGTTGACACATAAATTTGGTATTTCCAAGCCAATTTGGTATTTCCAATTAGGTATTTCCAATTAGTATTTGGTATTTCCAGTTAGGAAATGGCACCCATAAGGCCTCGCAGTAAATTATACATAGGAGCACCCTGGGCAATAATTTTGGAGCACTGACATAAATCTGTGCATGGTTCACACTTGGACTCCTGGCAACTGTTGCCCTCCATCATTTCCCTTTTTGTAAAACATCTATGTGAAGCCCTTCAATCCCCACATCCTGGCCATTGTAGCATTCCCACCTATCCCTCAAATATATCTTAATTAAATGCTTCCTTTTCTTTTTAAAAAGAGCCATATTTGATTCTGCCCTGAGCCACACTTATCTAGAACCATAGATCCCAGATCCCTACCCTACCAGAATGACCCCAGCCTCTTTGGTTTATATGTGCTGGGGTTGCTGCAGGGCTATTTTTGGGCAGGAACGCACAGGAACGGAGTTCTGGCTGGCTCCTGAGTTGGCCACGCCCAGCAGGAACTCATTAGCATAATAGGCCACACCCAACAGCAGAAACTCATTAGGATTGGCTGCATTAGGGGTGTGTGGCCTAACATGCAAAGGAGTTCCTGCTACAAAAAAAGCCCTGAGTTTTGACAACAAACAAGGTAAACAGAATAAGAAGGGAAAGGTGGGTGTGGCTGGATGACTACACTTCTGGTAACATGGGGGTGTGGCCTAATGAGTGGTGCTGTCAGGGGTGTGGCCTAATATGCTAATGAGTTTTGCTGTTGGGTGTGGCCTATTATGCTAATGAGTTCCTGCTGGGCTTTTTCTACAAAAAGAGCCCTGGTTGCTGGAATTACCTCTTTTAAGTATTGGTAATGGTCTGCAGATGTTCCTCATTGGTCCACAAGACTCATATTTATGCAAAATGAGCATTCTCAGATTCTTTACTTAAAAAAAATGTTATAATCTTTAAGCTTCCAAAGTATGGAAAGCAATGCTTAGTGAAGCGTTTCAAGCCAGAGCCTAAGGCTCTGAGCAGGATTTCAGCCTCTGCAGTACGGAGTTTCTATGGCTTCCATTGCTTTTGTTGACTTGGAGTGTTTGATGAGGACCACAAAATCCAGCTTTTCTAGTGCATAAATATTTGGTACAAAATAGGCATAGCTCTGATTTCTGATTATGATGTCCATTCTTGTTCCATTTTGTGAACCTAGCCACAAGGGGGCAGTAGGATCCCATAGATGGCTTTAAAAAAAAGTTGTAGACAGCTATGTCATTAGTTCTGCTTGCTTCTGTTGTCTAGCCAAGTACAACCTGTGTCTTCCCTGCCATCCTATTTCCCAGCGCCTCAGCACTTTCGGAGATAGATGGTGCCATTTTGGCACCCGGGCCAAAGAGTTCCTAGGCTTATAATATGTTGTCTTCTACCACCCGCAATGCAAAACTGATATTCTTTTGCAATCAACATTTCCCTAATTATCGCCAGCCAAGAAATATACAATTGCTCTGTAGCCATTTATAAACTGTTGTAGTTTGGTTGGGGAGGGCATCTTTTCCTCCTTTTCAAATGCCCCAGCAGTGTTAAAATCATTTCTGTTCCCCATCCCCTAGCCAGGTTTAAAAAAATACAAGTAAGCCTAGGTTTGGGAGAGGGAGAACTATTTTTTTAGTGTATTTAGCTTATTTATACCCCACTTTCCTTCCCAGTAGGGACCCAAACTGACTTACAATATTCTCCCCTTCTACCATTTATCCACAAAACAACCCTGGGAGGTAGTTTAGGCTGAGACTGTGTGAGTGACCCAAGGTCACCCAGCAGGCTCCCATAACAGAATAGGGATCTGAACCTAGCTCTCTGTGGTGTGGGTGTGTATGTTTCTTTAAGAGAACTGTTGTTATGGGAAGAGGTGTATATAAGTTGGATGTAGGAAGTGGGAGTGAATGCAGCTGTAGGAATGTGGTTTAACTATTATTTGTCTGAGACCTTAATAAACAGATTTTGGAATGTGACTTGGAGGCCTTATTGAAGAGACATAACACTCTCCTAGGTCCTGTAGGGGTGTGCAAAAAAAAAAAATATTCGGCCCATTCAGATTCGGCCGAATTGGGCAGAATCAATTTTGGCTGGTATTAAGACTCCCGCATGTCAGTTTCATCAGTACAAGCCAATTCGGGAGTCTTTCGGCCAGCTGAATGTCAATTTAAGCCCCATTATATCCTATGGGCCATTGAAGTCAATGGCAAAAACATAGGGTATATTCTGGGGGCAGGAGGGGAGGGGGCTTGAGGGAGAGACTCCAAACTTGCAGGGTAGCTGCTGGAGCCTCTCCCCAAGATACCAAACAGGTTTCAAGAGCATTGGACCAGGGGGTACAATTCTACGGGCCCTCAAACAGGTTACCCCTTTCCCCTCCATTGTTCTCTGGGGGGGGGGGAAGTGACTTTTTCCCCACCATAGAGAACAATGGAGGGGATAGGGGCAACCTATTTGGGGGCCCATAGAATTGGACCCCGTGGTCCAATGTTCTTCAAACTTGGTTGGTATCTTGGCAGAGCATCCAGCAGCTACCCTGCGAGTTTGGAGCCTCTCCCTCAAACCCCCTCCCCTCCAGAATATACCCTATGTTTTCGCCATTGACTTCAATGGCCCATAGAATATAATGGGGCCGAATAGCTGCCGAAATTTGGTGGCAATTCGGTGGCAAGCCGATTCAGATCAGAGAATCTGAATCGGCCTGCAGCAGCCCGAAAGGGGTCTGAATGGGCCATTTTCTGGGGTACATTCGGTTCGGACGAACCGAATGCACATCCCTAGGTCCTAGTCCAAAAATATGGCTCTAAAAGACCTCCTTCCCTTTCACTGTCCATGTGCTTCTCTTCATATGCCATTGTCCCTGTATCCAGGGAGCGGTTCTCTCAGATACCAATTAACATTGCTGAAGACAACAGAGGATGGGGAGATATCTATTCATCATGCCAGGATTGAGACCTTGGTTTTTCCCCATTTTAATTGGCAATTGTATTTGATTCTCAAAGCAATTTACAGCAACTAATAATCAATTTTGCGTTGAAAAGTGGAACAAAAATAAAGTTATTTTAAATTGTATGCAGATGGTGCATGTTTGCAATGGGCAGAGGGAGCAGGTTTTTCATCCTGGACCTTTTCACCCTGGATATACCTAGCTTTATTTCTTAAGCATATGGTGAACCTGTGTTGATTTCAGTCTGCTAGACTAGAATAATTCTGCATGGAAATGCACTATGTGTGTATTAATTAATTATATTTCATTATGTACACTCTACGTTTCTCACTTGGGCTCAAGACAGATTACACAGTGTGAGTCAATACAATTAACAGGATGGGATATTCAATAAACAATACAACAAGAGAGCCAATGTTGTTGTAGGGGTTAAGAGTGGCAGACTAGGATCCGGGAGACCCGGATTCAAATCCCCACTCATGCCATGGAAGCTCGCTGGGTGACCGTGGGCCAGTCATACTCTCTCAGCCCAACCTACCTCACAGGGTTCTTGTAAACAGAGTAAAGGAGAACAATGTAAGCCACTTTGGGTACCCATTGGGGAGAAAGGCAAGGCACAAATGAATGTATACAATAGGATTAGGATTGTAGAACCAATCAGAAATCTAAAAACAGAAGCAAAGCATGCATTAACATGATGCATTAAATGATGCAAAAATTACGTAGTAGGACCCTAGTATCAGCAAACTAAATACAGTAGTAGAGACCATAGTCCCTAATCTATGTATTTATTTCTCAAGTTTGCCCCCTATCTGTGGATATCTAAATCCATGGATCGGGGCCACGCTTACCCAAAACAGGTTTTTCTGCAGACTTGGCTGAGTCTCTAGATTTGCAGAAACATCTGAATTTTTTTTAAACCCCCCCCCCTCAAAATAAAACACTCTGCATGTTGGTGGCATGTTTGAAGCTGTTGGTGGTTCTCCAGGCCTGGCTGCTCCGGGCAGGTGTCCAGGGGGATCACTGGGCCTGGCCACAGGGACGCAGGCAACTGGGAGGCTCTACAGGCCCGGAGCAACTCCCCGATGCTGCAGGGAAGCCATTGGGGGGGGGGGGCAGAAGGTTTGGAGTCGGGAGCTGTGCAGTTCTCAACATCTGAGGGCAGTGGGTGGGGTGGGGTGGGGTGGAGAAGCCTTGGAGATTGAGAGATGTACAACTCCTGACCTCTGAGGCCATTGCAGGAGGGGAAGGCTTGGATGCCTGGATCTGCACTCCTCTTGATCTCAGGGGCCTGAGTGTGTGTGAGAGAATCCTCTGAAGCCATTGTACGGGGAGAGACCTGGAGGCTGGGAGTTCAGCAACAGGAGAGCTGCTCCCGAGTAAGTTGACAAATCAGGGGAGGGGGAGATCAATGGAGAACGGTTTGGGGGCAAAAGAAATGGAGGGTTAGGTTGACAGATCAGGTGAGGGGTGGACTGATGGAGAAGGGCTGGGGGGGCAAAAGAGGGATACAATTGAGTGATTAGGGAAAAGGGTGAGAAAGAGGGGGAAGATTGTTAGAGAAGGGGGAAGCAAAGAGGGGGAAGGGATGCACCCTTGCTGCAAATTTCTTGTGGGTTAAAAATAAAATAGTAGGGGTCTTCCTATGATTGTCTTTAACCCTAATCTCACATAGTTGGGAAAGAGAGGGTTCCAGCCTTCCTCCAAAGGACTCCGACCACACCCACAACAGAACAGGAAGAGACACTCACAGCAGAAGAGGAAGAATAGATCAGATCCTATTCAGCTTAGTGAACATTGCTATACCAGGACCCACTGAAGCTGAACCGGGTAAGAGAGATGCCTTCTTTCTACTGCCAGCAGTTGAAATCCAGAAAGGGAAATGCTGGCTTTTTGAACATGGAATTGGATGTGGACAATTGGAAAGGCGGTTATTGATGCCAGAACTCCACCCCATGAAACCTTGCCTGCCCTGTCCTCATGCACTTAGCAGAGAATTGATCTACAGAAATCAGGCAGTGCAGCTTTTATGAGCATGGAAGTCAACAGGCTTTTCTGCGTGTTGCTGCAAATCAAGCCTGTGTTTAAAGGAGCAAAGTTCTAAAGTTAGCAGATGCTGATAGGAGTGTAGTCAAAACAGAAGCATGGAATATGAACATTGTCAATGAATCTCTCTATATAATAATTTTGTTTCGGTCATGGACTCTCCTGAACATTCCACATGCTTCCAAATCAGTTGGCTCCCTGATCTGTCACTCAGAAGCTGTCCCTATCCACTGGCTGCGTTGCCTGAGTCTTGCCTCTAATATTCTAAACAGTTTGCTGTTTCTTTCCCCCCAATAGCCAGTCAGAACACAGAGGTCATTTGCATATGCAGCCTGATTGGCCCTTGCCTCTAACATTCTAAACAGTTTGCTATTGCTGTTGGGAGTCAGTCAACGTGTCCTGAGGTAAAATACATATCCC